GGTGTGTTTTCCCGCCTGGTTTTTAAACTCTGGGGTCCGTTGCGATGGATTGCCTCATTTCCGGGTTTCCTCCGTAGTGGAATGTATATGGGGTCGAGTTCAATGTGTTTATTAATAGCATGCTTCGTGGAGTGCCGTGCTTCTAGGAATTCTCGTGCTTGTCTCTGCCAAGCCTGCCCCAGGATCTTGGTGTTGTCCCAGTCGAAGTTGTGGCTCTCCTTATCCATGTGGATTGAGATGAGTGAGTATTGGTCGTGTCTTTTTGTAGCCAGTTGGTGTTCATGTACTGTTGTTGTTAGTTTCCTGCCTGGTTGTCCGATGTAGTGTTTCTCGCAGTCTCTGCAGGGGATCTTGTAGATGACATTGGTCCTGTCCATGGCGGGGAGTGGGTCTTTAGTTTGGGTGAGCACTTGTCGTAGGGTTGATGTGGGCTTGTGTGCCACTCTGATGCCCAGCGGTCGTAGAAGTCTTGTGGTGAGTTCCGACGTGTTCCTGATGTAGGGTAGTGTGATGAGTGTGTCAGGGCATGTAAAATCTTTCTGATGCTGTTCCCGTAGGCATCTCCTGACCCAGTTCTTTGGATATCCATTATCCTTGAACACTTGGAAGAGGTATTCCTCCTCCTATTGGCTTAGTTCTATGTTGCTGCAGTGTGTTGTTGCCCTTTTAAATAGTGTTCGCACACAGCTTCGTTTTGTGTGCGCTGGGATGGTTACTATTGAAGTTCAATACCTGGTCTGTCTGTGTGGCTTTTCGGTGTACTTTCGGTGTACTACGACCGCTGGGCATCAGACTGGCACAAAAACCCACATCAACCCTACGACAAGTGCTCACCCGAACTAAAGACCCACTCCCCGCCATGGACAGGACCAATGTCATCTACAAGATCCCCTGCAGAGACTGTGAGAAACACTACATCGGACAACCAGGCAGGAAACTAACAACAACAGTACATGAACACCAACTGGCTACAAAAAGACACGACCAATACTCACTCATCTCAATCCACATGGACAAGGAGAGCCACGACTTCGACTGGGACAACACCAAGATCCTGGGACAGGCTCGGCAGAGACAAGCACGAGAATTCCTGGAAGCATGGCACTCCACGAAGCATGCTATTAATAAACGCATTGAACTTGACCCCATATACATTCCACTACGGAGGAAACCCAGAAGTGAGGCAATCCATCGCAACAGACCCCAGAGTTTAAAAACCAGGCTGGAAAACACACCGACGCTTCATCGGAGGCTGCACTGAGGATGTTACCAAGCATTGTAACGAAATGTCTGCGGAACAACAAACCAGCTCGGCGAGCCAACCAACCTCAACACCCACAAACCGAGCTACAGATCTACTCCAAAACTTTAGAGATCACTGTTAATTGTCAGGGAACAACTAGTTGGAGAATACAACACAGTTTCCACCTGCTGATCACTTCAATCTTCTATCTTTCTGCACTGGGATTCTGAGAGACCTATTCACTCTTTTTAAATAAATTGGCATCATGTTGTGGTGCGGGACTGTAACCAGAGAGCAAACTCCGACCTTTCTCAGTCGATTATATGCTTGGTCAATGCTGGCTCAACTCTAGCAATGAGCAGCCTAAATGCAGTAATAAAGCAGGGAAGGCCGAAATCAGAATGAAAGACCGCCTGTGGCATTATCTAATGCTGAGCTGTGTCCATGTAGCTGTGAGGCCTGAATCTAGCGGTAAAACTCTGACACTGGGTAGACCAGAACTGCAACCAGTCCAAAGTAATCATATGCAAAAGACTTATGTACTTGAGATTATTGGGTCTAACTCATTAAGTTCAGAGAATCATACAATAGTTATTACGTAAGTTGAACAAATGCCTGTTTCTTGGAAGAGCAACTCTGCTTTCTCCGCTCCCTAACCCTCTCCTGCAGGCATATATTTTCCCACAGGTCGTTCCCCTTTGATTGAGTACCCAGATTAAATCTCCCTCCTCTACACTTTCAGACAGCACATTTCAAAAAGTCTCTCTCCTGTTGCTCTTTTGCAAATCACCATGAATCCTTGTCCTCTGGTTCTTAACCTTCCCATCAATAGGAACTGTATCTTCCCATCTGTGCTGTCCAGACCCTTCATACAAAAATACGAGTTAGGAGCAAGAGTAAGCCATCGAGCCCCTTGAGCTTGCTCTGGCATTTAATAAGATTTTGGCATCAAATCCACATAACTTCCTCCCTCAATAACCTTTGACTCCCTTGTTATAGTCAAGAGTGTGTTTACCCCTGCCCTAATAGTATTCAGTGGCTCTGTCTCTACCACTTCATGAGGAAGAGAGTTTCCTCTGAGAGAAAAAATGTCTCCCTCATCTCCTCCTTAAAGGGGGGAACTTCTTACTTGGCTTACTCGCTGCTGCCAAATAAGAATCTTGCCATGCCGCTTGGGGAAAAGCATGCAAGATGCAGTAAGATGCTCTCAACATTGAAATGGGTCTCATTAGACTTCTCTTATTCTCTCTCACGTCTCATCATAGGCTATGTCACTCAGAAACCTGTCGGATTCCACACTCTAAATTTTAATTCTAATCATTTTCTCAGTACCCTTTCCCTGGTGATTGTAATTACTTTAAATACCTCACACCCTTTCTCTTTCTGATTCACAACTACATCTGGAATATTATTTGGGTTTTCTACAGTAAAGACAAGAAAAATATATGTTATATTCATTTGCCACTGTTCTATTTTCCGTTATTATTTCCCAAAATCACTTTGTGGAGGACCAACATTCAACTTTATTATCTTTTCATTTTTGAATATCTGTACAAACTCTTGCTATCTATTTTTATATTTCTCGCTAGCTTTCTCCCATACTGTCATCTGTCCCTGCTCATTGATCTTTTAGTAAATCTGAAGCTGTTCTTTGAATTCTGGCCAATCTTCTAGCCTGTCATTCATCCTTTTGGAATTATATGCTTCAGTCAGTAAGTTTCAGGATCCTGTATGCTTTTAAACACTTGCCCAACCAACTTCGCTACTTACAATGATTTGTGCACGTATACTCTGGTCTCTTTGTTCATTGAATCCTTTATTTTGGATTACCTCTTTTAATTCTTCCTCCCAAAATGTACCACATTGAACTTCTCTGCTTAAATTGCATCAACCATGTGTCAGTTATTCCAAATACTTGTCCTGTACGTCCTCCTGAATTCTATCACTTCCCCAGTTCTCCCCACCAGCACAGTTCACAATACTATCAAGTTCTCTGTCATCTGTTTAATTTGAAATTGTGCCCTGCACATCTAAGTCCAACTCATTATTAGCTATCAAGAAATGAAGACTTCCTATTATAGATTCATGCAGTGCTATGTGCTTGTGCACGAGCAAATGGAGATGACTAGCCCTTTTAGAGAACTGCAATGTTGTTTCTTAGCTGTACTTTATATCCTGGAGGTCTGTCATCAAATGGGACAACAGCTTTTCTCAAGGTTTTGAGACGTGGTATAATCTAGGAGCTGAGGTGAAGAGAGGAAGAGACCGAATAAATTGAACTCCCTTTAAGAATGAAAAATACGAGATTTTGAAGAGGATTGAGAGTTAGATTTCCCTGTTAAGGAGGGTGGCTCTCGAACACAATGTGCATGGTCCTAGGATAAGTGGCCAGTCATTTATGACTGAGATGGGAGACATTTCTTCACTTTGAAGATTATGAATCTTTGGAGTTCCCCAGCCTTGGGGTTGCAGATGTTCCATTATTCAGCACGTTCAAAGCTGAGGGCAATAGATTTTCAATCATCTTGGGGAATCGAAGATTATTGGCAGCAACTTGTAAAGTTGGTCCTTGCTACATTTGCAATAATGTGGTCACTCCTCAGTTATGATGAGACAAAGTCTCAAATTAGTTGTAAGGTGCCATTCATTGTGAACCTTTGTATTCTTTCCTATCACGTGGTGGTTTCTCAGTGTGCCATTCAAATCCATTTAGCAGGGCATTAACTTCAACTTGGGCATTGTCTCAGACTGCTGAGGCTTTTGGATCCTCAAATCCCCAAACCAAATGGGGCACATTGTTACCTCATTTGCAGTTTTGTTTTCCTTTTTAACAATTAAGTAGAGTCCTACCATTTCTGTAATTGCTCCAAGGAGATCTGGTAACATGGTAACTGGCTCTCCGTCCCTCCTTCCCTCTTCTTGCTCAATATGCATCCCTCAACGGCTTTTATTGCTTCATCCCCTGTCTCTATCCCCAGGTAAATAATTGTTGACGTTACATTACTTTATAAGTTCTTGACTTTACTTCAGTCCACTAGGACATCCCCATGTCTGTAGGATCTTTCATTAGGCTTGTTGATGGTACACGTACAAACACAAAGCCTGAGACCCCGTAGGACAACATATTTTTCATTTTGAAAATAATAAGTATTACCTAAAATGAATTCTAAAAAAATTGAGGTTGAATATATTGTATGCATGTGTGTTTGAGAGCATCTGGCCATTAAATGCTACAGGAAGAGGGCATTATATTCGTGCTACTTATTCTGCCCAGATTGACTTGCATTCTTAAATAAAACAAAGAATTGTGGATACTGTGGATCAGAAACAAAACTAGAAATTGTTGGAAAAACTCAGCAGGTCTGGCAGCAGCTGTGGAGAGAAAGCAGAGTTAATGTTTCGAGGCTGGTGACTGTTCATCAGAACTGATAACAGCTAGGAAAATGTGGTCTTTGTGCTGAAGACAAGGTTGGGAGGGGCTGGCATTGAGTAGGTAGGTAGATACAGAGGCCAGAGAGTGCGTGATATGAAAGGGGTCAAGCTCATCTTCAGCATAAATACCACATTTTCCTAATTGCTGTCAGTTCTGATGAAGAGCCACCAGACTGAGAATGTTAACTCTACTTTCTTCCCATAGACCTGCTGAGTTTTGCCGGTAGTTTCTGTTTTTTTTTTGACTTACGTCCTTTTTTTCTTTTACTTTATTTTGTTTATTAAGCTTGTGGATTTGCTGAAAGCAGTGTTCTTACTGTTACAGTTCATTCAAGCACCTGATCGGAGGCCTGGAAGATGTTTCCAACAAAGCCTATGAAGATGCTGAAGCTAAAGCTAAGTATGTCAATCATGTATCTCCTCGAACCGTTATCTTTGTCAATCCTGCTGTCTGAAGCTGGTGGTTAAGCATCAAGTCTTTAGTCTGAAGAAGAATCAGTTTTGTTTCTATGTGAGGAGCTTGCAATGCTCCTCAGCGTAATGTGGATTTGACTGGAGAAATCACAATCATGTTTTTTTTTAACTAATTCATGGGAAATGGGCCTCTCTGGCGAGGCCAGCATTTATTGCCCATCCCTAATTGCCCGGAGTGCAGTTAAGAGTCAACCACATTACTGTGGGTTTAGAATCACATGTAGGCCAGAGCAGGTAAGGATGACAGATTTCCTTCCCTGAAGGACATTAGTGAACCAGATGGGTATTTCTAACAATCGACAAAAGTTTCATGGTCATCATTAGATCCTTAATTCCAGATTCTTTATTGGATTCAAATTCCACCATCTGCCACGGCAGGATCTGAACCCGAGTCCCCAGAACTTAAGCTGAGTTTCTGGATTGATAATGTAGCAATAATACCACTAGGCCAATGCTTCCCATTAATATGTGCACATATTGATAGTGAAAGCAAATGCCCAAAAGTCTGCAGAGTTACCATCTGGAAACATCCACTTTCAAAGGACCGACACCGTGTGAACCCCACTGAATTCATTATGCAGTGTAGACATAGAATCTCCCATTACAAAAGGAGGTCATTCAAACTGTTAATTGTGTACTGTATACATAGGATCTCCCATTACAAAAGGAGGTCATTCAAACTGTTAATTGTGTACTGTATACATAGGATCTCCCTTTACAAAAGGAGGTCATTCAAACTGTTAATTGTGCACTGTATACATACGATCTCCCTTTACAAAAGGAGGTCATTCAAACTGTTAATTGTGCACTGTATACATAGGATCTCCCTTTACAAAAGGAGGTCATTCAAACCCATTATCCCTGTGCTGCAGTGCCCAACTGATTACATTTTACTGCTTTGTCCCCTATTGCCCTGCAAATATTTTCCCTTAAAGAATATGCATTCAGTGCCCTGTTGAAAGATATTAATGAATCTGCTCCACTAACCTTTCAGGTATATCCCTTCTTTTTGTTAAATTGTGAGTTTTTTTTAGCATCAGCAATGGTTAATTTGCAACTGCAACTCCTTTCATGTTTAAGTACTGGAATTGGATTTGTCCATTCTGCCAGAAGAATGAATTAGAGATGGATAGAGCTATTTGCGATCAATAAGTTATCTGATTTACACTTGGGAAGCTGATTAATTTTGTTTAGCTTTTCACATTTTAGTTTAACATGTTTCTGGTCAGCTGACTTTGCCCTTTGCTGTTGTATTTGTGTGTGCAACCCAGGTTTTCCTGTCTCAACCTGTATAAGCCAGGCCGTGATGATATTTTTAAAATCAGTCGAACATTCATATTGGTTAGTTCTGTCAGAACCTCCAAAAGTGCTATGAACAGTGGATTTGTTACTCAGAATATTTCATCAAGCATAAAGACAGTGGACAAAACGCCTTTGATACAGATTGTAATAGAGACAATAATTTAAGGTAATGATGTACAAAATATCTTGCAATGAGGCCAAAGCTCAACGCAGGACAGTTAGGATAGGGTTGATAATGGTAATATCAGCATTAGCCCTTTTAAGAGTAAAGTCAAGGTCATCTCAAAGGGCACTGGGTCTCCATTCTCCAAAACATTGCAGATGCCTGCTGGCCAATACACGCTCACAAGGAGGAGATGGCTCAGTTTTTGTTCGGTAAAGGAATTGAGTAATATGGTGAAAAGGCAGGTACATGGAGTTGAGGTACAGTTCAGTGCTAAGTCGATTGAAGGACACCGCAGGATTGAACAGCTGAATGGGTTGCTCCTTTTCTTATGAGATTTGACATCACCTAACTAACTTAATGCATTTTCAATTTCTGTAGCATACCTGGAGTTCAGATTGTTTGGTTTGCACAGCTAATGTACTCCAGGTTATCTTTGCCAGCATTGAAGTTAATGTGATTTTAAATTAAGTTCACACAGCTCCATTACTTCAGAGATAGCAAGAACTGGTGATGCTGGAGTCAGAGATAACAAAGTGTGGCGCTGGAGGAACACAGCAGGCCAGGCAGCATTGACGTTTTGGGTCTGAAGAAGGGTCCCCACCTGAAATGCCAACTTCCCTGCTTCTCCGATGCTGCTTGGCCTGCTGTGTTCCTCCAGCTCCACACTTTTGTTATCCAGTGCTTCAGATTTTGTGCTGCAGTACCATTGTATCACTGCGAGTGGCACTGTTCCACTTCATTTCAGTCGTAGTGCTGGCTGGTATAACAACAACTTAACATTTACATAGTGCTCGAACGTTGTAAAACGTCTGAAGGAGTATTGGTCATGCAAGATTTGACCGTAATCCATGAGGAGATATCAGCAGAGTGGCTAATAGCTTGGTGAGAGAGATAAGTTTTAAGGAGCATCTGAAGCAAGATGAGAGAGGTGGGGAGGTTTTGGGAGGGGATTCCAGAGTTGGAGCTGATGGATTTGAAGTTAAGGCACTGGGGTTGGAACAAAGCAAATCAGAGATGCATATAGGACCAGGATTAGAAGTAAATGTTTATCTCAGAAGGTTATAAGATGTCAGGAATAGAACGGGGCAAAGCCATGGAGGGCTTTGGAAACAGCATATGCAGCAAGTGGTAAACAGAGCTAAGTGATCCCACAACCTACAGATCATGCCTAAGTCCAGCCACATCGAGTATGAATGGTGGTAGACAATTAAACAACTCACTGGAGGAGGAGGCTCCACAAATATCCCCATCCTCAATGATGGAAGAGCCCAGCACATCAGTGCAAAAGAGAAGGCTGAAGCATTTGCAGCAATCTTCATCCACCTGTGCCAAGTGGTTGATCCATCTCGGCCTCCTCTAGTGGACCCCAGCATCACAAATGCCAGTCTTCAACCAATTCGATTCACTCCATGTGATTTCAAGAAATGGTTGGAAGCATTAGATACTGCAAAGGCTATAGGCCCTGACAACACTCTGGTAATGGTACTGAAGACTTGTCACTCCCCTAGCCAAGCTGTTCCAGTACAGTTACAACACTGGCATCTACCTGACAATGTGGATAATTGCGCAGCTATGTCCTGTACACATAAAGCTGGACAAATACAACCCAACCAATTACTGCCCCAACAGTCTCCTCTCGATCATCGGTAAAGTGATGGAAGGTGTCATCAACAGTGCTATCAAGCAGCACCTACTCAGCAATAGCCTGTTCATTGATGCCCAAATTGGGTTCTGCCAGGAACCTTGCCCATGACATCAATGACACATTTGGCTGAGTGTGGCATCAAAGAGCCCAAGCATATGTCAAGTCAGTGTAAATCAAAGTAAAACTCTTTGTTTGGAGTCATATATGGCACAAAGGAAGATTCTTGTTGTTATTGGATGTCAGCCATTTCTGTTCCAGAACATCTCTGCAGGAGTTCCTTAGGGTAGTGTCCTAGGCCCAACCATCTTCAGCTGCTTCATCAATGACTTTCCCTCCATCATTATGGTTAGTAGTGGGGATGTTCCCTAATGATTGCACAATGTTGATTACCATTGCGATTCCAGATACTGAAGTAGTCCACATCCAAATGCAACAAGACCTGGACAGTATCCAGGTTTGAGCTGACCAGTAACATCCACGCCACACAAGTGCCAGGCAAAGACCATCTCCAACAAGAGAGAATCTGCAATCAGCCCTTAAGATTCATTTTCATCATCGTCACTTAATCCCACTCTATCAACATCTTGGAGGTCACCATTGACCAGAAACTGAACTGGAATAATTTTCTAAATACTGTGACTACATGGGCAGGTTCAGAGACGAGGAATGCACAAGCTAGTAATTGATTTTCCAAATCCTGTCCACCATTTATCAGCCACATCTCAGGAGAATGATGGAATATTCTCCACTTGCCTGGATGAGTGCAGCATCAACAATTCCCAAGAATCTCAACAGCATCTTGGTCAAAGCATTCTCCTTAATTGGCAATACATCCACAAACATTTACACCCTCCACCTCCGACAATTGATAGCGGGAGAATGGGCTATCTACAGAATGCACTGCCGAAGTTCACCAAAGCCCCTTAAAGGCAATTTTACAAACACACGATCATTATCATCTGAAAGGACAAAGACAGCAGATACATGAGAACATCACCACTTGCATGTTTTGAGTCACACAGCTCTCTAACTGACTTGGAAATGTTTTGCTGTTCTTCACTGTCGCTGAGTTAAAATCCTCGAACTCCCTCCTTAATGGCTACCTACAACAAATGGATTACAGCAGTTCAATAAGGCAGCTCATCCACCACCCTTAAAAGTGAAGTTAGGGATGGGCAATAAATGCTAGAAGCCCACATCCCATGAATGAACTAAGAAAGCCTAATCTATCTCACTCTATCTGTTCAATAATCCAGTCTATCTCACTGTATCCATTTAATAGCCCAGTCTGCCTCACTGTCTGTTTAATAGTCTAGTCTCGTTCACTGTATCTGTTTAATAGCCCAGTCTGCCTCACTGTCTGTTTAACAACCCAGTCTCTCTCACTGTATCTGTTTAACAATGCAATCTCTCTGGCATATCTGCTAATAACGTACATTATGTCAATGTTTACCTACGTGTATATCTTATGAGCATATAGTCTCTCGCTGAACTGCGTCTGTTGTCTAATTACCCAGTGCTACATTATAACGATGATTTATCTGCACAGTATGAACTCTTAAATACCAGAAGCTATTCTCAATAAATGTAGATTTTGACCAGCCTGAGATGGCAACCTGCCTTAATGCTGTAGCCAGAGTTGGTTAACACTGAGAAATGTGTACAATGGTGGACTCAGTTAAGACAAGAGAATGAAATGAAGTAGTATTGAAACTCTGTTACTGATTACAAGTTTATTATTTCTGGCTCAAATGGACTGACTCTGTAAATGTCTAGTATGGTGGTTTTTCCCTTTTGAGCCTTGGGGATTATC